GTGGCAAGCATCATGGGCCAGGTGCTCCAGGGCAGCCATGTAGGCACACAGGTTGAGGCAGTGGTGGCGCAGGTTCAGCACCGGCTAGACCACCAGCTGGCCTGGCCCAAGGAAGGTCACCACCCACCACGCCCCACGCATGCCACCTTCGCACCCAGCGCTCGCCTCTGGCCCGCCAGCACCACCTTTGCCACCACCTTTCCCGCACAGCCCCGCTGTGTCAAATGGGCCCTGTGACTCCCACAGCAGAAGCCGCAATGCACACCAATGGCGCACGAGATGAGCACGAGGCAAGCGAGCTCATGTTTTCCATGCTTCAGTACCAGGCTCTCTGTTAGAGAATTTTAATTTCTCTATTGGTGAAAAATAAATCAGAAGCTCTCACAGTTGACTGCATTTAGCTGATTCAAATAACTTTATATTTATATAAAAATATTTACAATACCATTCTTCTTTACAGCAACATAACTCAATGAAGTCTTCTTACAGAGACAGACCAGAGACAAAACCTTGAGACTAGAAATCCAGCTCCTAACTCAATGCTCTTTTTGCACAGACTCAGTAGCACTTTCTTCCCATTGGCTGACTGAGTTACCACATGACTCTTCCTGTTCATGAATATTCCAACACTCCTCCCTTCATGACAGGAAGAGACATCAGACCTATTAACTTAATACATTTTTTAATAGTGAAAAACCTTGTGCCACTAACCTGGCCTTATACTGTATATCATTATTTGGCAATACCTTTTTCTTATATACCCACTTACAACCCACAGCTTTGGTTCCCTGTGGCAAAGTCACTGATTTAAATACTTCATGATTTCCCATGGATTTCATCTCTTTATCTATGGCCTCCTTCCATTTTTCTTGTTCAGCTTTTGGTAATGCCAACACCTCTTTATAACTTCTTGGCTCATGCCACACATTGCAAACCTTTACCTTGCTGGCAGAATACCTGTCAGGTGGAATTCCTTTATTACATCGCTCTGACCTACGAGGTATTAACTGCTTCTGTGTCTCAAGTCTTTCTGGCTTCATGTCTTGTTCAGCCTCTCCTCCCTGAACATGGACATCTTCAATAATGATTTTTTCATCATTAGATGAATTATTGTCACTAAACAGATCACCGTCATTAAGTGAGACATACCCAGAATTTGCATTAATTCTGCCCCAGTTTTGTTCTGCAAAATTAGCAGACCTTGAAATTATAATTCTTTTACTTCCATCAATTAACGATATCCTTTTGACCCTGGCTCATAGCCCACAAACCTGAGCTTTCTTGCCTTCTGCTGTCCCTTTCTTCTGATTGCTTTTGGAATATGTACCCATGCAGTACTTCCAAAAATTCTCAAATGTGCCAGTGATGGCTTTCTCCCATATAGAATGGCATATGGAGTATTATTAATGGAGGAACTCCACAGCCTGTTAACTATATAATTGGCAGTCAATATGGCTTCTCTCCAATATGACCTGCTCATACCAGAATCCTCCAATAATGAATCTTTCATTGTTTGCAAAACACCATTCCTTCTTTCAGCTACACCATTCTCTGCTGCTGTGTAAGGATTTGTACGTCTGTGTCTTATCCCCAACTGCCCCAACCATTGTTGGAATTTAGTTGACATAAATTCAGTACCTCTGTCAGTTTGCAACTGACACACTTGTTGTCTGTACCTTCTCTCTACAAAACTTACCCACTGTTTGAATTGTTGTAGCACCTCTGTCTTTGCTCTAAGCAAATAGCAAAATGAATACCTGCTATAATCATCAACAATTACCAGTGCATATTTTGCTCCTCCCAAACTGGCTTGCATAGGTCCCACCAGATCTGCATGAACCAGCTCTAGAACTCTTTTTGTTTGTCTTGTGCTACATTTACTAACTGGGAATGCCTTTGACTTTGATGCTTTGCGTACTGCACAGTCCAAATATGTTTTGCATCCCTTCAAATTTAGCCCTTCTGCAAAATCTTGCATTTGCTGCAAAACTTTAAAGCTTGCATGGCCAAGTCTTCTATGCAGAAGATGAACACATGAATCATGCTCTGCAACATTCTTAAATATATGAGAACATTGAACCTTTTGTCCCTGCAATACATATAGATTATCTTCCTTTATGCCTTCTGCACAAATATTCCCATTCCTTTTGATGAGACATTTCCCATTTACAAAAATGACCTCAAAACCTTGTTTGTCTAAATTAGACACACTTAACAAATTATGTTCCATCTCAGGTACACAAAGCACATTGGTAAACTTTGATTCCAAATATGGAATTTTTACATCGCCTCTTCCAATGACTTTTGCTTTCTGGCCATTTGCCAAAGCCACGGCTTCTTGTGCTACTGGAACAAACCTGCAAAATAATTTAGAATCATTAACAATTGTTTGACTTGCCCCACTATCTATTAGCCACTTGTCTCTGTTGTTGCTATTGCAAACTTTTGCAACACCAAAATGTTCCTTTTGCAAAGCAGTCCTTTTTCTTTGCACAAATGTCTTTTTCTGCAAACAGTTCCTTTTCAAATGTGTCTTTTCTCCACAAATGTAGCAAGCTCTCTGCTTGCAAAATCTCTCCTTTGTTGCAATTTGGTCCGGGTCTAATCTGCCTGTTTCTTTTCCTGAGACTTGCAGTCTGGACCCCCTCCTCAGGAATTTCTCCTCCTCGTGGCTGCTTCTAAAATGGCATTTTTCCTCTTCATTAAGCAAACATGCCTTTAAAGCCTCAAACTTTAAGTCTTGCTCTTCTTTACACTCAAATATTGCAGAAACTGTGTCCCAGGTTTTATCTAAACTGTTCAACACCAACAAAACCTTCTGGGACTCAGGGAATTTAATCCCATGTTGTTCTAAGTCCAAAAATAAACTTTGCATTTTATTGAAATGCTGTTCCACAGATTCACCTGGTTGCAAACAGGCTCTGTAAAGTTTTCTTGAGAATTGCACTATGTTGCAAGCAGAAACATTCATGTGCACAGCTCTCAATTTCAACCATATCTCCTTTGCAGTCTTTAAATTTGCAACATTTAGAAATTGATCATCATCTAAATTCAAGATGAGATAAGCAATTGCTCGATCATGGCTTTTCTGATCAACTGCTGCAAACACTTGTGGTGGATTTTCAACAATATACCACAGCTCTTTAGCTTTCAGCAACCATTCCATTTTTGCAGCCCACACAATGTAATTCTTCTGGCCTAAACGAGGCACACAGCTTTCCTTAAATTCCATTGCAGCCATTTTGCTAATTCTGCCTTGTTCTTATACTTTCTACACACAGGCAATTTCTTCCAGCTTTAAATTACAATGCAGTCTTTAGTAAGCTCTGGGTCCATAACCTGTTAGAGAATTTTAATTTCTCTATTGGTGAAAAATAAATCAGAAGCTCTCACAGTTGACTGCATTTAGCTGATTCAAATAACTTTATATTTATATAAAAATATTTACAATACCATTCTTCTTTACAGCAACATAACTCAATGAAGTCTTCTTACAGAGACAGAGCAGAGACAAAACCTTGAGACTGGAAATCCAGCTCCTAACTCAATGCTCTTCTTGCACAGACTCAGTAGCACTTTCTTCCCACTGGCTGACTGAGTTACCACATGACTCTTCCTGTTCATGAATATTCCAACACTCTCCATGCTGCAGCGCGACATGGAGAGCCTGGCCGACACGGGTGAGCACGAGGCAGGAGTGCACATGGACTCCACTTTTTTGGCAGGGCAGAATTAAGTGCTGCTCCCCACCTCCCACCCCTGGTCCTCTTTTACTTACAAGTAGGAGATGGCGTAGTTGCTCAGCAGGGAGGGGTGAAAAGTTCCTGCAAACTTGCCTTTGCTGCAGACAACTTGCATGTGCAACGTTTGCGGGCTGGGTCTTTTGGTGCACTCAGCAGTGCAGAGACAGCCATTAACGACCAGGTCTGGACAATTCCTATTGGCTTTCGAAAGCCAATAGAATTAGAGTCTATTCAAGAAAGTCTATTCTATTGGCTTTCAAAAGCCAATAGAATAGAGTCTCTTGAATAGAGTCTATTATATTGGCTTTCAAAAGCCAATAGAGTAAGAGGGAGTAGCACAGCTAAGGAAAAGGGAAAAAATGGCAGACTGCATTCTTTGGCGACCCCTGTGAAATGGTCGTTCGACCCCAAATGGGGTCGCGACTCACAGGTTGAGAACCGCTGTCTTAGGAGTTTTGCTGACGCTTTTTGTATCTTTTAAGTTCTGTAATGTCCTTTTTAATAAAAATTATATCTAGTACTTCAAGAATGCGCTCACCATGGATTTGTGTCAGAGCAATTTCATACTGGCAGTTCTGTTTTCAGTGAAGAAAGAGTTCAGTCATAAACGGAATAATCCTGAGATGGATAAGCAGAGTCAGATTGGGTTAGTAGTTGGATGGGAAGCCATGAAAAACTTCTAGGGCTAGGTTGAATAAGACTGGGAAATTAAAAACACATAGAAGGTGGCAATACAATGCCATTTCCATATGTTGGCAAGCAAATCATATAGACATAGTTCCACTGTCACTAGGTGTTGAGTCTAACCAGTGGTGGGATTCAAATATGTGAACAACCAGTTTTCTGTGTGGATGCCACTTCTGGAAGTCCATTCTGCGTTTGGGCAACAAAACATTAGCTACTGGTTCTGCTGAACTGGTGCAAACCGGCTGAATCCCACCACCAAGTCTAACACCTTTCATGTTTGTTTCGAAATGATATTGAATTTGTGATGTTTAAACTCTGCATTACAAGGTGGGTTTTTTTATGTAACTATTTTTGTTTTAAGTAGAAAACTACTACAAATTATCCAGAAGATTCACAGCACTGAGGAAGACTTTGTTTAAAATGTCTGGTTTAAGAGTGCCATCAGGGATATTAGACTGCTTTATGAAGGTTACCTTTTTATAATATTTTGATAGATGATTGTTATATTAAATTGCAAACACAGAGACATATAGATACATATACACAATACATTGACCAATCAATGAGGCATTTTGCTCTTCTACAGAATTTATTTATTTGTTTGCTTATTTAATTATTTATTACATTTATCTAGATTAGTTTTAATATAAGCATTTAAGAAATCCTTGTGGTATAGTTGTAGTGCAAAGAATTTTGGTAATGTTATTTTCAGGCCTTCAGTATTTTCTTTTAATCAACCTTTTTTGAAGCTACGTAGGCTTGTGATTTTTCCTGTGACCCTTTGAACTTACAGTTTTCATCCCTAGCCTCTACTCCTGCTGATGTTTCCCTTAGGCATTCATAGGACATTCATGCAAAGTATATGAAATCAAATGTCAAGTAAGAATTTGCTGATACTAAAAGATGCCATGATTTTAAGATATTTCCGGCAAAAATAAAAAAATATTGAATGGGAAGCCCACTATATTATTTTATTTTAGCAGAAGCAAGTAGCAGAGCAGCCTGACTGTATCAGTTCATTCTGGCAGCCAATTTGTTGGACCAAACTTTTGCAGTTCGCGTAATCATCTACTCGTGTGCAAGGATTTGCTGAAAAATTTAAAAAGAGAAAAATGTAAATAAAAGTGAGACATCACCAAAAGTACAACTTGCTAGGGACTCTTTTACAATTTTATGCAGTGTTTTAGAGCTCAACATCAAACTTATTTTTTTTCTTAAGGGGTGGATTCAAAGCTGAAGATTTTTAAAAATGAAAATAGTACTTAGAGTAATTATTTTAGAGTATATGTTAGAATAATTATATGCAGCTGCTGAATTATTACTTTCATCAATAGTCCTGAACAAAATCCAACAAAAAGCTGGTATGGATTTTAAGTTCTTCCTAAGCTGAAATGGATTGATATCGTCCTTGTCTTCCCTGATTCAATTATCTGGGCTCATCAACCACTAGTGTGGGAGCATATAGAAGCACCATTGAGGCAACTCTGGATGTCTGGTTATCCCACGATAGCATGCTTCATGTATGTGGTGATCCAGATGTCTTGCCTAGGCCTATCTTACTGGATAGTTGGCTATCTTCCATTAAACCTGTTATTCTACCTAGAGACGATTAGCTCCTCATATGAAATCTGTTCTTTGCTGACATGACATGACCTTTAAAAATGTTGGTTTAATAATTGACTTTAAAAAAACTTACTGCATAGTCCATCGTCACAAGCCGAAGGACAATCCTCACAAGGTGGTCCTGATGTATATGGAGTAGCAGTTTTACCTATGATGTTTCCTCTGGAATGAAAAAGATGAACAGAAAGGTGCCATACATTATTACTGTTCCATTTGTGATTGATGAAACACCCATGCCATTTCAATAGATAATTGACTTTGGTTGCATTGTCTTGGTTTCTCTGGTTTGAGTTTCCAGTTTTGAGAGAGCAGACAGCACTACCATCAGAGGGGAAGACCTGACTTCTGAAGTCTTCTCCAAAAGGGAGTAAACCCTGTCAAGTTTTGTGAGAGAGCAAAAAAGGATTTTTCTGGCTTGTTAGAGAAAGAATTGAGAGAAACTCTGACTTCCTCCTAATGTCTTCCTTCTTCCCCTCTTTCATTTCTCCTCCGAAACATTCTCCTTCTCCCATCTCTCTATCTTTCTCAATTCTCTCTAACCAATACAGAAAGGCTTTCCCCCTTTCCTGCCAATCATATGCCATGATAGCTTGAGGATGCAAGTCTGCCTTCTATGCCTATCATCCATGCTGTCTCTCTGCAGGTTATTTCCCATGTATTGCCCATAGTTGGAGAGGGATCATGTGACAAACATGTGATTGGAGATTGAAGATTTCCAGTTCCGTTCCTGGAATTGCCACTCAAGTTAAAAAGAATAAGATGGATGAAAAAGTAAGCAAAATGAATACAAAACAATGAAAAATTAAGGAATTTAAAATAAGTAAAATCTAATGTTGTATATTGTATATGTCCATGTAGTAAATAATTTGTCCCTTTACTCATATCAAAAATAGTAATTTGGTGTTCTGGGGGCTGCATTCAATACTTGGGTTACATCCAGGTCTAGAAGGAGAAAGAAAATATCTATTCATCCACAGCTTTCTATTTTTTTTTATTTTCTGGATGGATACATGAATTGAAAGAGTTTCTTGGCTACTCCATTCCAGAATGACTCTGTTCAGCTTCACGAATTAAAGAAACAGTATTATATTAAAAACAGATATCCAAGCAATATCATAACATCCTACCACATCATGACCAACACAGAAGGGAAATTGTCTGCAGAATTATATAGGTAGTCTTCATTCAGTGATTGACTTAGATAGCAAAATTTTGATGGCAACAAAAAATTAACGTTGCGGTCAATCTTTGATTTTACAACTTTGCAGGTCTGTAAAAGTAAAGGAAAGTAAGATCGACACTGTAACACAGTCAAGATTCCCCTTTGGGACCACTTGGCTTAATGACCGAGTTGCTAGTCCAAATTGTGGTAATTAAATGAGGACTACCTGTATAGCCTTTTATTTAAAAATTCCAAAGTCAGTTTTGATTTAAATCTATTCATAACCCAGCACAGAAACAATACAGTTAAATAATTGGAAGATATATTCCTGAAATATAACTGTGCATGTCAGCCAATCTTATGAAAATTTAAGTATTTTTGATTCTATTGCTTGCTAAAAGCATCTGCAGGAAGGAACAGTGATGTTAGAGCACAACCTTGTGGCTTAACATGTTGTGTCTAATCTGGGCACAAGAAAAAAAGGATGGGATTTGCATTGTACTGTCACAATGCCTATTTCATCCTTTTTTTTTCCCATCATGACAACTAGCAGTTCAAACTTTTTTTATTAGATAACATTTCAGCCCACAGCAACTAGAGAAGACTATTGAAGAAAATCTGTGCCATTTTGGATTCTATCCTAGAGCATCACTGGCTTTGGGACAGGATGAGGCCATGTTCATTCTTAGCAAAAAGGATTCTTCTTGTGGAAGCACAAGTGGAACATAGTAAATTACTTTTGAGGATAGGAAATTATATTCTTTCAAAGTGGCAAGGTCAGTAAATGATCTGGGAGATTTTTCATTGCTTCAATTTCATATTCTACCATCAGCCAACTTCAAAGGCAGATTTAGAAAAATCACCTACATAGAAAGGATTTGTCCATATGCTTCAGGCCCATTGCTTAGAACTCTTAGAAATTCTTTGTTGGAACCCCTATTTCAGGTAATCCTTGGAGTCTTGATATCTTTCATCTTCAATATCTTACACTGAACAAATGCCCTCTCCAAAAACTCACATACGATGGCTAAACTTGCATTATTAGCATGCAAAACATATTGCAGTTAGCTAACATATACGTCTATCTAGGGGTAGCCATATTTTACTGCTACACTCGCATTTATTTTGTTCTTTTTATCATACCCTGCTTTATATTTTGTTTGAGTGTAAGATAATAAACAACATTTGATTTAAGCCCATTGTTTTCTTTTCCAGGGCAATCAGAATCATTCTAATTAGACTTGCTGTAAATGTGACAAATAAAGAAATCATAGTTGATACATACGCTGGGCAGTACTGACAAACATAGAAGTAGCTGTATTCCGATGAAGGACAATAGGCAGCAGCACAACCAACACGGTAACTTTTGCGCCAAACTATCTGTAGATACAAAAATATGCACACAGGTTAACATGCTAGTAGCTTAATATTGATAATAAACATTCGGATTGTATAGGGGCATGTAAAGAAAATTGCATAAGGGATGTAAGAAAATGTACTATATATAATTGTCTGCTCCTAGCCAGTGAAGTGGGATATCACAATAACAATGAGTGTACAATGAACATTTCCAATCTTTTTTTTCCTCTGAGTTAAAAAGTGTGTTCATTTCTATAGTTTCAGAAGCAAATAAATATTAGAACAAATGAGGCTTCATCCTCTGTGCTTTAAATGCATGTATTTAAAATGTAAAATATGAAAATGCTCCATCCTGAACTTTATAGACCATCTCTTTCTAAAGTGCCCCATCACATCCAAAGCAAGCCGAGTAACTTGCTATTACCAGCAAGTTAGTTCTTCCTTCCTAGCTGCATGAAAGCCAAGATCTGAGGCACTAGATGTGAATAACAAATAACACATTTAGTATGTTTGCAATCCTTCATTTACACTATATCAGAACTTAAAAAACAAAACAGTACAACACTTTAACCTAGTCTAGTTTTCCCTTTCCTTAACATGCATTGGGACTATGGCTCTTAGCCAAGATGCTCATGTTTATGGAATTACTTAGTGATTGTAAGGACACAGTTGCTTGGTTTTCATGGCCACAGCACCACACATATTTTGCTATTATCTTTTTGTGGGGTGTTTTCTCAATTTTCCAGTCTACCTTCAAGTCATGGCTTTCCTGTGCAGCAGCCAGGCCTGGCTTAGCTCAGTGATTCAGGATCAGCCAAGGACTTGAACTTGATTCAAGGGAGTCTACTTTTTTAATCTTATTCATTTTTGTGGGTTTATACCTGTGAACATAGAAATGAGAAAGATATGAAAAAGTACTACCTGAGTGAAATGGCCAGTTACAGCATTTGGTGGGTCTGCTCCAATGCCATACTTGAAATCTTTGTTTTCACCATGCCAAGCGTGAATAATTTCAGTCCATTTCATAGGAACAGATGACTTATATATATTTTCACCACAGTTTATTCCTCCTAAAAGTGGGGAGGGTTAAAAAAAAAAAGCAACAGCAAAAAACCACAGGTAAATACATGTTTTGAAACAAGCGAAGGACAGCAAAAAGGAGATAACTGAGCATTTCTTATCTCTCCAGAAGCACTGACGCATTCGTCTTGCTAAACTATTGGCAAGGAAATGAACATTTTGCACCCAGATTTTTTTTTTCTGTAGTGCTTTTCCAGAACCTTTAATTGTGCAAATTGATAATCATTTGTTTTCTGATGAACATCAAATAATATAGTTTATTTGGGAGGAAATTATATGTTACTACATAGTGTGGTATTGAGATTAGGGAGATTAAGGTTTAATTCTCCACTTGACCATGGAAATCTCTGAACATCTTTGGGCTCAGCATCTACCATCAGAAACAGCTGTGGTGAGGATAATATCTTTAACATCATGGGGGGAAGGTGGGCTATAAATGTAGTAATATATAATATTTAAAAAATGAAAGAAATCACTGTTCAAATACCATTTCTCCTGCAAACTCACGGGGGGGGGGGGTAGGAAGGAAAATTAAGAAAATTATTACCTTCTCAATTCTTCTACCTCCCAATTAGAAAAGAAAAAAAGAAAAGAAGAAATAGGGGTGATATGATAGTAGTATTCCAGTATTTGAGAGGCTGCCACAAATAAGAGGGGTAAAATTATTCTCCAAAGCACCAGAGGGAAGGACAAGAAGTAATGGTTGGAAACTGATCAAAGAGAGAAGCAACCTGGAATTAAGGAGAAACTTCCTAACAGTGAGGACAATTAATCAGTGGATCAGCTTGCCTTCAGAAATCGTGGGCGCTCCATCACTGGAGATTTTTAAGAAGAGACTGGATAGTCACTTGTCTGAGATGGCGTAGGTTCTCCTGCTTGAGCAGGGGGTTGGACTAGAAGACCTCCAAGGTCCCTTCCAACTCAATATTCTATTCTATTCTATTCTATTCTATTCTATTCTATTCTATTCTATTCTATTCTATTCTATTCTATTCTATTCTAATTATCTACATGGGAGTGGCAACTATAGAGTGATTCATAGGTATTACTCTTGCTGCTAATACTGATGAATAAGATTGATTGTAAGTGCTATTTAATGTGAAATATACTATTAATCCTCTAACCAGCTATAGCTATACTATACTTTTAGATCGACTTACCAAGAATTCTTGAATCGTGTGGACTGTGACTCTCAATACATCTGTATGCCCAACGTTCTGCATTAGCAGCAGCTTCAGGATACCATTCCTGAATGGAATAGAAATCAACAGCAACAATCAATCAATGAAAGAGGCATAATTTAAAATTGCAGAAAATATTTAATCCTTTTTTACTACCTTTTGGCTTCCTTAAACTCTGGTAGTTAAGAACTCAGAAGTTACAGCACTATTCACTAAAACATCCTTTGAATAGTTGGAGTGGGATTGTATGGCTTCCTCCCCACCCTTTTTGACACCAAGTGCAAGCAACCCATGTTGCACCCTGATGAATGCCATTAATGTTTCCTTCTGACCAGCAGTGTTAAAATTCTAATTAAGATGGAGTTCTCTAATGAGCGTATGTTGAATGCTCCTATACTTGATATTGCCGAAGACCCTCTTAATTTCCTCTCAATTTCCTACTTTGATTATATGTTTTCATGATCTTTTTTTTCATTGTATATTTCTCTGAGTGATATTATAACTGACAGATTCAAATATAAATACAGATGCACCTAAATGCATATGGGCCAAAAAGAGAATCACTCAGTCAATAAATAGTAGGTATGTTCTCTTATCCTATTTGGTAAATCACATAATTTTTATACTAGAAAGAAAATTAAACTTCCAAACTCTCTGACGAATACAATTACATTTAGTTTACCATTTTTAGCATGTTGCTAGCAGTTGGATTCACAGATCTCCTTAAAGAATTGTGCAAGTCAACAATCTCGTTTTGTATTTCTGGTTTCCTGGGTGACTCAGAATCAAAATCAACCTTAAGATAGCAAGCAAAATAAAATAAAAACAATTAAAATTGTATGACTTTAAACAGAACAGGCAACTAGTGGTCTCAGGACTCAGTGAATGACTTTGCCTTATCGCCTTCTGTCACCATTCTACTCCATGCAACTTTCTTCTGATCCCCAGCTATCAAACAGTGGCCCTATTTGTCTTTGTATTTGAAAAGAGACTAGCCATAAGATAGGAAAAGGGGATCACAGAACCAAGTTAAAATAAATTAATCATTTCCCCATAATCTGTTCTTCAAGGGAATACTGCAATGGTATTTACGGATTTATATCAAGAACTTATATGGATGTCTATATAATGATCCTAAGTGGCTCACAACAGGAATAAAAAGAGAGCCATCATACCCACCAAATGTCAGACCAAGCAGCCTCATTGAACCCCCATCCTAGCCCTACACTTGGGGAGGGGGACAAAACCAGGTCTTCACTGCCCCCCCAGAAGGCTTAAAAGGGTAGGGATCCCTAAAATCTCAGTTGTGGGGGAGCTATTCCAGCAGATTGGGACTTGAGTTCTATTATAGACCACAGGAATTAAAATTATTCTTTTCATTAAATCTGTCAGCTTTAATTATATTTGACTGCCCTGTTCAGCATGATTGTGTTTTGCTTTGTGTGTTCAGCCCTGTAATATATTTATGAATTAAAATGAACAGTTAGACTGACCAAGCTTCACCGACCAGACCAAGAAACCATAGTAATGAATCTAATTCCATTTGATTACAAGGTTGATGTCAAAGCTGCTAACATTGGATGTTCTTGCTCTGACAAAATATGCAGAGCTGTGTGGTATTTTTAGAGTTAACTCAGAAGACGCTGGGAGGGGAGAAGGAAGAAAGTATGAGTTGCAAATGGAAGAGAACCTTTGCCCTTCAAACTAATTGGAGAACGTGAATCATGACAGCAAAATAAGGGAGGGAAAATGTTAGCGAAAATAACTGCTGGGGGTGTGTGTGGAGATTTCAGATCTTAGCATCCTCTCTTCATGCCATGCCGACATTTCGTCACATGAATAAAAAAGACTTTTTAGGATAAACAATGCCTGGAAGTTCTTTGAAGTGTTTCATTAATCGGAAGCATGACAGTTACAGTGTTACAGCAAGAGTCTTGAAAGTCTGAATGCATTTTCCAGCCTTCTTCTTATTGAGAGCTAAGAGTGGTCTTGTCTGAGAAGCTTTCTCAAATTATATTTACGCGCTAGATTCAGATTTAACTGACTGTTGTCTCAGCTACATCTCTTCCTCTTGTTCCTCAAGGTTATTTCTACCGCTCAGGACACATATGGAGCAATCCAACATATAATAGGCAGTTTAATGAATGATTAATTGCAAGAGGAGAAAGTTATGTACTGTATATATTAAATCTGCTATATGTGATACAAAATTATTAAACTTACACTTCCAGAAGACTGTTGCAGCACTGCAGCAAGAATTGGCAAGATAATGAAGGCAATCATTTCTAAAAACAAAAGAACATTGAGACATATCAATGTTTTATCTCCTTAATGGGATTTGTCTCAACTTTCTGTAAGTAGTTCAGATATCTCCTAGACACAAAACTTACTCTATGTGTGTTCTCTTTTATTCCCTTGTACTCCAGTAGGCATCCTACATATCCATGGTTCATTCCATGGATATGTAAATCATCTATAAACCCACACTAATTCCTTAAGTTTTCCCTTATTTAACAAGACTGGCTGAATCCCACCACTAAGTCTAACAACAGGGTGATTTTACCTTTCATGTTTGTTTCGAAATGATATTGAATTTGTGGATGTTTAAACTCTGCATTATAAGGTGGGGTTTTTTTATGTAACTATTTTTGTTTTAAGTAAAAAACTACTACAAATCATCCAGAAGATTCACAGCACTGAGGAAGACTTTGTTTAAAATGTCTGGTTTAAGAGTGCCATCAGGGATATTAGACTGCTTTATGAAGGTTACCTTTTTATAATATTTTGATAGATGATTTTTATATCAAATTACAAACACACAAACAGACATATAGATACATATACACAATACATTGACCAATCAATGAGGCATTTTGCTGTTCTACAGAATTTATTTATTTGTTTGCTTATTTAATTATTTATTACATTTATAAAGCTGCCCGTCTTTCGATCAACTCTGGGTGTCTCCCAATCAAAAATTAAAAATAATATAAAATCATATCAAACTATGAACCATAACCAATTAAAACATGAAAAACACCAAATCCTGGCATATATTTTGCATGAATGGCATCAGATCAGTTCTAGATTAGTTTTAATATAAGCATTTAAGAAATCCTTGTGGTATAGTTGGAGTGCAAATAATTTTGGTGATGTTATTTTCAGGCCTTCAGTATTTTAATCAACCTTTTTTGATGCTACATAGGCTTGTGATTTTTTCCTGTGACCCTTTGAACTTACAGTTTTCATCCCTAGCCTCTACTCCTGTTGATGTTTCCCTTAGGCATTCATAGGACATTCATGCAAAGTATATGAAATCAAATGTCAAGTAAGAATTTGCTGATACTAAAAGATGCCATGATTTTAAGATATTTCCGGCAAAAATAAAAAATATTGAATGGGAAGCCCACTATATTGTTATTATTTGATTGTCTACTAGGACTCGGAGGTCCCTCTCACAGTTACTACTATTGAGCAAGGTACCCCCTATACTATACATGTACATTTGGTTTTTCTTGCCTAAATGTAGAACCTTACTTTTTTCACCATTGAATTTCATTTTGTTAGATAGCGCCCAGTGTTCAAGTCTGTCCAGATCCTCCTGTATCCTAAGCCTGTCTTCTGGAGTGTTGGCTATTCCTGCCAGCTTGGTGTCGTCTGCAAATTTGATGATTTCCCCATCTATCCCCTTGTCCAAATCGTTGATGAAGATGTTGAAGAGCACTGGGCCCAGAACAGAGTCCTGGGGCACCCCACTACACCTTTCCTCCATGTAGATGCGGTTCCATTGAAGACCACATGCTGAGTACGGCTGGTCAGCCAGCTACAGATCCATCTGGTGGTGATGCTGTCTAACCCACATTTTCCTATCTTATCAAGTAGTAGGTTGTGATCTACTTTATCAAATGCCTTACTGAAGTCCAAGTAAATTATATCCACAGCATTCCTCTGATCCACTAATTTTGTCACATGGTCAAAGTATGCAATAAGATTTGTCTGGCAAGATCTGTTTTTGACAAACCTATGTTGGCTTTTAGTAATGACTTTGTTTGCCTCTAGGTGTTTGCTGATTCATTGTTTGATTATCTTTTCCAGAATCTTCTCAGGTATTGAGGTCAGGCTGATAGGTCTGTAATTTCCTGGGTCCATTTTTTTTCCTTTTTTGAAGATGGGAACTACATCAGCTCTTTTCCAATACTCCGGTAGTTCCCCAGTGCTCCATGATCTTTGAAAAATATAGTTCAATGGTTCTGAGATCACATCTGCCAGTTCCTTGAGAACCCTGGGGTGTAATCCATCTGGTGCTGGTGATTTGAACTCGTCTAGGCTGGACAGGTGCTCACTTACCGTTTTCTTGCCTATCTTAACTTGCGTTTCTATTCTGTTTTTTATGGCACTATTTTTGGTAGGCTGGTCTGTTTTTTCCTTTTGTGGAAAGACAGATGCAAAAAATGAGTTAAATAGTTCTGCTTTCTCCCTGTTGCTTGTCACCTTCTTGCCACTTTCCCCCACTAATGGACCAATCATTTCCTTCACTTTTTTCTTGTTTTTTACATGTTGAAAGAAGCTTTTTTTGTTATTTTTGACTTTGGTCGCAAACCTTAGTTCATTTTGAGCCTTAGCTTTCTTCACTTCATCTTTTCAGGCTCAGGCTATTTGTTGATATTCTGACTTAGTTATTTGCCCCTCTTTCCACTTTCTATACTTGTCCTTTTTATCTTTCAATTTATCAAAGAGTTCTTTATGCAGCCGTGCTGGTTTCTTTTGAGAGCTGTTATTTTTCCTCTTTGTTGGTATTGTGCTGGACTGGGCTTTTATTATCTCGCTTTTCAAAATTTCCCAAGCTTCTTGAGTTGTTTTCCCCTTGAGGATTCTCATCTATGGAATCCTTCCCAAGCCCTCTCTAAGTTTATTGAAATTAGCTCTCTTAAAGTCCAAGACTTTAGTTTGACTGTGTTCTATTGCTTGTGCTTCCATAATGTTGAATTCCAATATTGCATGATCACTTCCTCCCAAGGTTCCTGTGGCTTGAACACCTTCTATCATTTCATCTCTGTTAGTGAGAATTAGATCCAAAATGGCTAATCCCCTAGTTCCCTTCTCTACTTTTTGGGAGACAAAATTGTTTGCTAGGTTTGCAAGGAATCTATTTGATCTTCCACTTGGTGCAGAGTTTGTCTCCCAGTTGATTTCAGGGTAGTTAAAGTCCCCCATTACTATTGTGATGTGCTTCCTACATATCTTAGTTAGCTGACTAGCAAACAGTTCATGTATTTCCTCTGTTTGGTTGGGTGGCCTGTAGTATACACCTATGCAATGTCATTTTTTCCCCTTTTATATTGATCCAAATGCATTCAGGACAGTTTTCATCATTGTTGTGCTCTATTTCTGTAGAGATGTAGTTATTTCTTACATATAGAGCAACTCCGCCTCCTCTTTTATTTGGTCTGTTTCTTTTAAATAATTTAAATCCCTCTAGCTGTGTGTTCCATTTGTGGGTTTCATCCCACCATGTTTCCGTAATGGCAACAATATCATATCTGCCCTCATTAACCTGAATTTCTAGTTCACCCTGTTTGCTGTTCATACTCTGTGCATTGGTGTATAGACATTTGAGTCCTTTATGACTGACCCTATGTTTACTTTCTATGTAACCTGTGTAGTGCCTGAGTTCCCCTATTGTCTTACCACCTATTTGGTTAGTGCACTTTGTGTGATACTCGCTATTAGAAGCTTGATTTTGCTTGACAGCAAAGTGGATATTCTTGTCCGCACACACATCTATGTTACATGCACTGATAGCCCTATAGTTTTTAGATTGCTGGGGACAGGGATGTTCTGTATCAATTAACTCACTGTCTCCGCTGTTTAGTTTAAATATTCCTCCAGAAAATCTGTGAATTTATAGCCGAGTAACTCAGTCCCTTTCTTTGATGATGCAAACCATCTCTTTTGTACATTTTTTCATTGGACCAGCTACAGACATCGTGACTAATATATCCAAACCCTTCCCCTTTACACCACTCCTTTAGCCACATATTGAATTGTGCTATACGCTGGCCTTTTCCATTTTGCTCCTTATATACTGGTAAAACTTCTGAAAAAGTAAGCCTACAGCCTGTTCTGCTAAGTTCCTGCCCCAAGCTCTGGAAATCATTCTGCACAGAGAGTACATCTTTTTGGGACAGATCATTAGTGCCAAGATGTACAATAGCCTCCACATCACAGTCCTTGCTGTCATTCTTGATTATTTTAGAAATACGCTTCTTTTCCCTACTGGCAGTAGCACAATGACGTATGAGCAAAATTTGGGGTCCATTGTGGTTGTTAAGCAAGGACTACTTATAATGTTATCAGCCCTGCAGTTACATTTCAAGATAATGTAAAAATATTGAAAGTATATAAACTGTAGCTTTGTGATCATTCAAACTCTATACTCATATGCTAATAGTGTAGTATGGAGAATGATAATCTTGATTTACCAAAAAAAAAAGAAACCTACTGCAAAATACAAACTAGAAACAAAAATTAAAATAAGCAAGAAAATGGTAACATAACAGCTATCCGACGTTGACGAATATAAATCATCAGGACCCGACAGATTATATCCCAGAGTTCTGAAGGAGCTGGCAAATGTTATCTCAGAACCATTGCACCATATCTTTCAAAAATCCTGGATCACCTGGGGAGTACTTGAGGATTGGAAAAGGGCTAATGTGGTTCCCTTCTCCAAGAAAGGGGAAAAAAACCCCAGATCTAGGAAATGACAGACTAGTCTAACATCAATATCTGGGAAGATCCTGGAAAAGATAATCAAAAAACAGATCTGTGAACAACTAGAAGCAAACAAAGTTATAACTGGTAGCCAGCATGGGTTTGTTAAAAATAGATCATGCCAGACTTCCAGTTTGCCATCGCAGTGCCGTGGATGCTAGAAGATGAGCTTCATCTTTCACATCTTAATTTGTCCCGCTGGGGGACCCTGGAAAGGGTCAAAAGTCGCCCTGTAGGGGTGACGAGCAAGGGCGGGACCCTTCTGTTTGATCCGGGGAAGCCCTCCAAACCAGCGGGGGAAAGACCGGCCATAGCAATATGCCTTATCACTAAGCTGCTGACAGTCAGAATCACCCACCAAGCATTTTTAAAGCAACACAGATGAAACTAGGTGAGATCTGATCCTCTCTTTAAGACTTTAAGTATTTTTTCCTGTAAAAGTTGCCCAAAGTATTTTTCCCCCTGTGAGGAGAAAGGGAAGGGAATTTCTACCCCACACTCTAAGACAAGC